TCACCTTGATAGTGTTCGATTAATCAGTCCTTAAATAGCAGGGATGTTGAGGAATAATAAGAAAAGACGTCTCAAGAAATTTTTGCCAGTGTTTCAAAAACAAATGGTCCATTTACTGATGGGCGAACGTGTGTTTCAAAAACAAATGGTCCATTTACTGATGGGCGAACGACGGGGTTGAATCTGCTTGGCTACATCCGCCACCAGTCCCGAAGTTCATTCAATACGTATGACCAACAAGAAAAAAGTAAATGCAATAGCTAGATGATAATGAACAATATCGGTCAGCCAAAGAACAGCTAGCCCCTATTTGGAATGGGCGCTCCAACACCTGGAGAAAATCTCGTGTTCTGGAGTTACAAACAAGCAACTCCATTCTATCCATGATTCTTTCCTTATTATTAGATTTGCCTAAACAGTTATTTTTGTAAGGAGTACGAGCATCAACTTCGTCCAAAACTCCCCAGCAAAGTGCATTAATAATCATTCTTGTAACCCTGAAAAACCAAATATTGAAAGAACAAAATAGCAGGCTATGAAAAACCAAATACTTGACATAATGTTCAGACTTCAAACATCACAAGGTTCCAAATGTGAGACCAGCTAGAGCTAGAGGTGTAAAGAAACTCATCCTGACGACTCCCTTGCTTTTGGTGTAGCTCAATTTGGGTCAGGAAGATTGCAGGTTGCATTAAATCGGGACCGACCGGGCCAGAACGTGTGAAAAATTAAAAAGTAGAAGGCCTGTGCAGTCACAGGCCTGGGCCAAGCCCTGTGCTGTGCCTGGCAGGTCCAGGCAGGTTTACACCTCCCAAGCCTGCCTGTTGTGAAATAGATTCTCTAACAATCAACCATAAAAGTTAAACTGCAAAACAAAATCTCTCCGTAATTTGAGTGTGCAAGTACATCTATGACCAGAATAGTAAACGACATGAAAAATGCACAATCTAATCTCATGAATATGAACCTACTTGCAATTCCAAAATTCATTATAGACACAGAAACCAACCCCCACCTGACTGGCTCACCCTTCTGGTGAGCAGTACAGGGCAGAAAATGGAGGGGAAAGAGATGCATGGTCAGATAAGAATTTACAATATCAAATGCAAGGAAATTCGAGGGGAAAGAGATGCATGGTCAGATAAGAATTTACAATATCAAATGCAAGGAAATTCGAATCTGATATACTTAAAAGAGAATTTAGTATGAGTAATTAATGTCATGGATAGTGTGCCATTAATGGAGTTCAACATAAGGCAATATTCACGGCATTGAAAAGGACTATCAGAGCAAAAACTGTCTGGAGTTCAACATAAGGCAAGATTCAAGGTACTTAAAAGGACTACCAGAACAAAAACTGTCTTCATGTGCATATAGCTAAGCATGAAACCTTCTAAAAAGCATCACGAGACTCGATTCTAATCCTATCGAGTTTTCACTTAATAAGAGAGACCAAAGACAACAAAATAAAAGATAGAGAAATCTCTGGTTTTTCTCTGAACTAAACAGCCATCCGGTAAGTAGATCAGAACTCAAACTCTCCTGTTGCCTGTGGAAGAAACAGAGCGCCTAAAATTATGATTATAAATTTCCAGAGGATGCACTAGCAATATGTAAACAATAGCAGAATAAGAAATGAAAATTATTGTTATGACAGAAACACCTTGTTGAACAGAATGTCTTTGTTATTTATGTGCATAATGCCATCCTTCAGATTGCATTTCCACCTGCTCTTGGTACGTGTCACCTATGAAACAAGCATCCATCAGATACATCCATCACTGTAGAAATAATATATCTAAAAGAATGAGAACACATCGAAGGACCCTGGAAAATAAAATGTGAACTCTCGAGTCATTACCTTGTCAAATTGTGCCAGAACCAAATGTGCTGTGTTCAGATCCACCCCTTGGTCCACGTCATCCAAATCGTCGTCGTCGTCATCTTCATTCAAAGGTTCGTCTTCGTCATCATCTGCAATGTCAGACTGGGGAGCAGGAGCAGGAGTCGGTGCTTGCATCTCTAAAAAACATGCAGATTACAGAACAACTATTAGGCTTAACGTGATTCGACCTCTCAGGTTTAGACAATTCCAAACAAGTCTTGTATTTAAGAGAGTCTAAGAGTGCTGAGTTGGTGATATGGAAGAGACAAGTCTCTCTAACTGATAAGAGTTTCAAACAATCTCGCCCAGACATCAAACCATAAAGCAGCCATCTGAACTGGATAAAGGATCTTAAGTATTGAACATAGTGAAGTTACCAAAGTAAATGGGGAAATGGACTGTCAATCTGAGTTTTATAATACATAGGCAACTAAACTCAGCCCCATCTCCTCTATCCACCATCATATTTGCCGAAAATAATCAAAAGACAATCTTGTCAAGCCTTCTTACTTGACTTACATGCATCTTCAGTTAGCCATTGTTAAGCTGTTAATCATTGGTCTGCAGAATAACTATATTTTTCTCACACAAATAAGCTTTTAATTTCAAAGTTTAGAAGAATCTCTGAGAGCTATTGGTACTTGCACTTTGCATCCACAAGTCAAATCACTTACACTCCATTGTCACATTCTTCAAAAAGTAACACTTAGACACTATATCTCATTACATCTCTTGCATATCTCTCATTATATTTCGTCTAGAAATTACTTATGTGAACGAACTTGTACAAATCATGATATGAAGCATTGAGCTCAAGCCATCATATTCTCTGCCGAACAAATGATCATGTATAAATTTGATTGCTAAGATTTCCTGCTGATCTTAAATTACTATATACCTTATCGAAGAGGCCTCTTAATGAGCTAAACTACCACACAGTTTCTTTCTAGTTGGTTGTCTAAGTGTAATCCTGTAAATAATTAGTTGTTTTGCTGCTAAAGTTGGACTGATCCTTCCAACCGAAAGAAAAGGTTTGTTTTTGTAGGTAATTCTAACCCTTTAATCAAAAGATTAGGGAGTAATTTGACTGACCATCCAAAGAAAAGGAAAGGGTTAAAGGTGTAACTGAACAGACACTCCAAAGGAATAAAGATCACTGTTGTTGTCTACTTCGAATAGTTGTATTATTGAAACCCAAAGGGAAGCTTTTTAGCAATGGACATAGGTACATTAACCTACACATTGATAATGCAATGTGCACATCTATATCTGTTCTGATTCATATATTACATTTAATACTGTTCTGAACACATACTGATCTTCATAAAGCATAAAATTCATTGCACTTAGCATTTGAAAATTTTTATTTTGCTGCAATTACACTGAAATATGAAGGGGATTTCAGAAGTCCAAAAATTAGGAACTTAAGAATTTGCTTAATCTCCTATTCATCGGCCCCCTCTAGATGATTGACTAACAAATTGGATAAATAAGAGCATGAATACTTTGACATATCACATGGTGCAAGATAGATGAAGAATCATACCATGTGGTGCAGGTGTGTTCACTATATTGTAATCTTCATTGGCAACACCTTGAAAATTGTATATCTTCAGGTCACAATAAAGAAGCCAGGTAAGTCAAAGAACTTTCACTGAGACTTGTCATGTTAAAAAAGAAACACATTACAGTAACATAAATGAAACAAAATAAATTTTGTATCAGTTCTCGTGAAAAAGGAAATATTTAAGATGAAATGGTAGCTTGCATATGAGAGATCATGAACAGGATATGCACTGGTCAATTGAAATGAAGCACGCTGAATAATATTGTTATCAGCCATTACAATAACAATAAACCATTTACCGCTTTTTAACCACCAAACACACGGTTTTTAATTATTTAGTTGATCGAGTGACAATCAAAACTCTCAAATTGTTTCCACAGCATTTAATTTAACTTGAACAAAATTCAAAGTTTTGGAAGCTAATTAGTAAAAAGAGATTCATCTTATCCACTCCACATTTAGATGATAGAATGAACTGTAATCTGTGACATTAAAAAGGGAAATGGCTTTAAAAGGCAAGGCATTGTCAGGCATCTCAGAAAATACAACCGAAAGCTGGAGAAACCACTTATGTAAATACTAAAATTCCAGGTAATGTGCCATTTCTAGAGCAAAGATATCCTTGACCAATACCAGTTCCATGTGATAAAAATCAAAGATAAATAAATTTGAAGGAATACATGTCTGAAATTTCCAAGTCCTCCAAGTAGGTTTCCAACTGATAGTGTCAACTTTTAAAGATAAAAGGACAATTAAACTTAAATAGCAAGGAGGGCAGGAGCAAGTTTGGCGAAGCTTAAAAGTAAATAAAAGTTACTTCAAGTACAGTTTAATTCCAAACATGTTTGGATAGGATTTCTTTTCTTGAGTTCAAGTAAAAAAAATAGTTATTTAAATGTTAAAAAAACTTGCTTATCCAACTTCAACCAATAAATAGAATTAATTATTATAAAATTTACTTATTTCTAAGTAAACATTTTAAGCATATTCAAGCATGCCGTTAATCCTGCTAAGCCAGAGTGGTGCAATGGTTTCGTGAGACACAAGAAGTTCGTTCCAATATTATGTATGCGTGAATTAAAGATGAACTCTAATCCAAATTACATCTCTTTGGATTAAATACGGATCAAGAAAATGGAAGATCAAAACAAACCAAAAGGAAGAACTACAGTTGGATCTTTATCTTCAAATTAAAATCATGCCATGTAGCTAGATGTTGAATTTTCTAAAAGTTAATGTAGAAGAGGCCAAAAAATCAATAATTTCACCCATTCAAACAGTAGAAAAATTGATAATGAATAGTCGCAAATGTTACAGTTCCATTAAGGAGATGGAATTTGGCATCCAATCTAATAACATTGAACTTTCTTGGTCAATTGAAACCCTTTTATAATTAAAACGTGCTTCATTTTTTCGAAGAACAATTCAATAAACTTAAGTAATATTTAAGGGTTGTTCATATCATATTTATACTTACGAGACAACAGATATTTGCTTCATGAAATTGTTTTTTGCATTCCTTTTCGACAAAATGCAGCATTCAACAAACATTTTATGGAATGTAAAAAGTTCTTTCAAAAAATACTCTTCATGTAAACCTGTCAATCACTAGCCAAAGGCACTTAGCCTTCATTATATATATTTTTATCTTCAATAATGACATATTCATCTGTAAACCAACACATAGGCCCTTAGCAACAGAAACATAATAGATACACATCATAAAAACTGAGTGGTTAGTCTTAGAACTAGGAGAAAACGTGTGTCAGAAGAAAAATGCAGTCAAATGAAAGGCACATGCCAGCATATAGACCATGATCACAAAAATATAAAATATTCACCTAGTGAAAATAACATTACACCCCTCCATGCTATCCACATTTGAGATGCACAAAAACATACATTTCAAATACAAAGAAGCAAACTAACATTAGGTGTAGAAAGCATGTCATCGTAGGGGTCAGGCATGGGACCATCCAACTGAGGAATCGTAGAAGACAGTCCTTCCCTTTGAACAACCATCTGTTGGGTAGCATTTACCAAAACATGCTGACTGCTGTTCCCTTGATCTACCTGTCAAATCATGCAGAACATTTAAAAAATAAAAATAAAAATAAAAATTAGATCATAGAAGGTTAAAACATGTAAACCCATCTAAGAGGTACATCTGACATCATATCATTGTTTCACCCTTTTCTCCTCCTATGCAAATGTTCCAAGGATGTTTAGCATAAATCATGTAAAGAGACAATAACCCCTAAAATAATGTGATCAACGTAAGTTCATATTTTCTTTTTCTCCTTTTTTTCGCTCATTCTTTATTTGTTCCGATTTTTTATATTTTCAGCCTTTCATGTTTCCGAGGAGAGAGATGCTATGCACTTCAAATAGCAACTGACAAGTTTCCATCAAGATTCTATGTTTTTGTTCCCAAGATTGAGTTCTAGTCTTCTAGACCTATGAGCCACAGAACTGACTTTTGGGGTACTGCATCCATTCTCTTTAAAACCAAGCTTTTTATGTTCCCACATGATAGGGCAGTTTCTGATGGATTGAACTACAATACTAAGAACTCTAGGTGTTAAGAAACCAATATATTTAATCAATGTCCAATAGTTTGGCTGTTTCTCAAGAACGATGACAATCAAGTAAAGAGCAATTTGTCACAAAGTAAAGACTGAGAAATCAATAGGAGCATCCTTCCTTTCAGAGGGAAGACTGCTATTTATTTTCAGAAAGCTCAAACAGGAAGTCAAATAAATTGAAAAAATATACTTTCTGAGCTGCAAAGGTGGAGGTAAATTCAGGAGTTCGTATCATTTAAAACAAGACACTACAAGGGAAACGTTTAACCAAAAGTTTCAGTCATTTCCAAGGCCAGACATCATGAATAATTTCTGGTTGACCATCTTCAAAAAGTAAAAATTCACAAAATACAGTATCTAGCTTTCTCAAAAAATCTGAAAAAAAACCAGAAACCACTAACAAAAGCAAATATTAAAGCAAAAAGAAAATGGCAACTTGAAAGGCCACCTCAGGACAAGATACAAAGCAGATGTCATCAATCTGCCAAAAGATTGAGGTGTGTTTTGTTAAGCTTCAATGATAAACAGTTAACTGGATGCTCTGTTGAATAGCATTATGATAATATTTAACAATTAGTATTTTTTTATGATCAAATCTACAGGGAAATGAGAGAGATCTAGAAATTATCCTGAATTAGGATGTAGGTACCATGTAATTAATTTGCCAAAATATTGAGAAAATGCATTTTATTAAGCTTCAATTATACCACAAAAGAATAAAGTGCTAAATATGGAAAGATGAGAGATCTAGATATTATCTTGAATTAGCAAGCATGTAGGAAAGTCGTTGTAGGTTATTACCCATATGTCCCCTAAGGAAAGATGCACTCTTCTGAACTACGATGCACCAATACGGACACGTGTGTCCGACACGCTACATGTCGAATACGTCGACTCGTGATTTTTCAAAAAAGTACCGACATGACACATTGTTGACATGTTGATTAAATTCCTTAAAATTCTTCATTTATATAGTATAAATTTAGTTTTATACTTATTATTGATTTTTCTTATTGAAATCTTTTAAATAAGAGTACTTATTTGTTCTTTACTAATAATTTTGAGTTAAAAATATACAATAAAGTACATAATAGCTATAGTAAGAAAGAAGATGATTATTGTAGAGTGTCCGAAGAATGTCGGTATCGACACGTGTCAGATACGGACACGCTACCCTAGTTAGAGCGTCCGTGCTACATAGCTTTTGAAAGGCCAGTAATAATATTATAGCCATATGGAACATCAGGGATCTTCAAAATTGATGAACAAGGAATCAGAAAGAAAAAGGTCTACCATAACATCATCTGATATCATATCTCCAGCTCCATCTTGCTGTGGGATGTATCCACCAGTGTTCTGCTGTGAAGGAAAGTCTTCCCGCTTTCGCTTTCCAGAAGGCATTGTGAAGAAATCCTGCGATGCCCAGAATAGTGTAATTAAAAGAATAACAATAGAAGAAAATTCATTATGCAAAAATTTAAGCTGAAGATGATTTCCCTTGAATGGCAGAATTAATCTTTAACCTTAAATATCGTAAAAAGGGAACAAAGAAGATTTATAAAGAACAGCAGCCCTCTTCCCAATTTTAAGAAACTGTACGCTGGTGAATGCAATTCCATCACAAACACTTTCAAACAAATCTTCCAACAACCCTAACAAATTTAGCCACGTCCACAGTAAAATTTCATTTCAATCATAGTTACTTGATCTACCAATAAATATTCACCAAGTTTTCTTTTTCAATGGTTGCATACTCACATCATTGATATTGTGCTACCATATTCACCATATTAGACGTTAATCAATGACGCATCTAACTTCTCTTATTCTTTTTACTTCCTCTACTTTGATCTAAGCAATGGTTCATTTTCTGTCTTTCTAGTTCCCAAAATCGTAATGAACTTGAGCTTTGATGATGCTGAAGGTAATTGGGCACCAGTTTAATAATCATAACATAACATATTGGCTTAAAGGAACTGTTGGTTTCGATCTCTTCTAATTAATTTGGATATTCGTTATTGAACAGATCACATTTTCAATTAAAAAAGGAATAAAAAATAGACATGCTCAATATGTCACAATTAATAATAATTTAATAACTAGAATATGCTTGCCTGTTTTTGTTTTTTGGTTTTTTAGAAGAAAGTTAGTAGCATATTCCAACTATTAAATTACCATTAGATGGTATGTGGCTAACCCACCCGTTCTCTCTATTTCAAGAACCTGCCGTGATTAATAGATATAAAGTTTGTACTCCATCATCTTCCAGTCATATAAATCCAGGAATAATAAGTGATCTAGGTTTGAAGCAAAATATGTACTGGACATGAAAGAGATTGAAAGGCCTTAAAATATAACGCCTGCCTCTTGTCTTCTCCTCCACTGCCTATACATAACTGGCAAGATTGACAATGTGTCTGGAACCAAGGTACAAACCATGCCGTGCAGAGTGCTCTCAAATAATTGAGAGAGAGAGAGAGAGAGAGAGATGTTTTAGAAATATCTGAGTGTATTTTTAATTTGAGCACCCCAATCCAGCCCTGGGGTGAGTCTCACAGCTTTCATTAAAAGCCTTGTGGCATATGCCTAAAGACCAAGTCCTTGAGCTGTTAAGACATGCGCCCATTTACCTTGCCTTTTCTGGACTTTTTATAACTCACCTCAACTTTTTAGGCTCTGATTTGATTACCTAGAACTTTTAACAAGTTTTTTGTTGAATTCAGAAGGGAAAGGGGAAGGAGAAGGCATCATTGCAAGTGAAGAACGATGTCAAAGAATGAGAAGAAATTGATAATGATTACGACAACGAAAGCAGAATCTAATATTTTAATGATTCAATTAAAAATCCTATTGGTAGTGATGATAACGAAGACTTCTACGATGTTTCTACTCCTATTAGTATATAACAATTTTGTTATGTTATTATTAGTAATTTAAGAACTTATTTTTTGCTACTTTATTGGTCTATTTTATGTTTGGGTGCAAGTTTGATTTTTAATTTTGTTAATTCAATATGGTTTATGGTTATCATGAGTATAATTTTGTACTGTTATAATCTATTGAATTTTTTGATTGGTTTGTGTTGACAAGATGTGCCAATTCATTGAGCCTTTTTAAACAATAATAACATAATAAACTGTCTAAGGATTGCACGACACTTTTGATGCACATATTATTAATTTCTTTAAAATTATGGCCGTAAAATGAAGCAAGATGAAGTCACCGCCATTGAAAAAGTTACATGCACAGATAAAATAGATATTTAGAGGTGAAGTTACTCAATAACACAAAGTTCGAGCTCTATTAAACGTAAGTTACAAAATAAATTGTCTACATGTTGTCTTAGATGCTCTTTATTAGTTTCTTAAATTTGACTAGAAAATGAAGCAGAGCAGACTCATTGCCATCGAGAAAATTACAATTTGCACATAAAATATCTATTTAGAGATGAAGTTACTCAGTAACACAGAATTGAGAGAGCTCTTCAGTTTATGCAGAGGGATAAAGTCCTGAACTTTAACTCCATGTAAAATTATTGGCACCACAAATGCTGATGTTCATTGTCAATGAGAAAACTAAATTGAATATTTGATTTCACTAGGCATTAGAACAATCCAATATCACCAAACTAATTAAACTTGCACCTAAAATAGATATTTAGAGATGAAGCTACACAATGACGCAGGATTGTGCGGGCTCTTCACTTTGGACAGAGAATAAACTTTGAAGCTGTTAGACCTCCCGTCCACTTCACCTATTCTAAAAGACTCAAGAAGGGGGGAGAATCATCTGGAAAGAAGGTTAACTAAGTTCTGTTTAGGAGCATGTGGAAAGGGGAATAAGTTTGTTAGAAACGGGTTATGAATAGGCAAGGCCGAACCTGTGTTTTGCTGGGCCTGAGACGAACTTCAGATTTTGAGCTTATAAATCATAACAAGCAATTAATTTTTTCATTTATAATAGATTTAAGGAACTAAATTTGTTAACTTAAATAAAACAAATAAAATGAAATATTTAAAATATGTATATTATAATAAAATAACAATGTGAAAGTGCCTAAAACGATTACTTAAATACAACTCATCTTGCGGTTTTCGAGAAAAAAATATCAATCAATTTTGTATAGTTGAGTTGGACCCATTTCAACTAAAAGGTCCCTTATATTTTGATCAATGTGAACGTTCTTCCAATTACCAGGATCATCAAAATTCAAATAAAAGCAATTCTCTTGATTTAAATCTTCATTATATTCATCATTCTGTTTTGACTCATCCATATTGGCAGATTCAATAATTTTCTTGTTCTTTTTCTGTTCATCCACATTATCATTATCACTTTGATCCTGTTGCTCCTCAATCATCAAATTTTCCGATGTTCCATCCTTCTCTTTTCTTTTCTTGCTATTAATACTTATCCATATCTCCAACTTGGCTTTGAATTAGCGTCTCTACATTTTTATTTATTTATTTTTTTCCAGCTCTAGACGAATATTTAGGAGCCATTATATATTGATAAACAGCAAACAATAACTGAAATATGAGTATAAATAGGGACTCAAATTAGTTTAAGAAAGAAAGATTAGAAGATATGAAATTTTTCTCAAAACATTGTCCACAAATAATATATACACAGAAATGTTTTCATTGACAGTCCTGTATAACTTGTTTAATCACTAGTTCTAAACTAAATTATGTGGTTGTAGCTAAAAATTGAAAATGGAAGAACTCACTGACAAAGCAAAACCCATTACCCACTAATAAAACATCAATTATAAACATTATATTCATTCCAAAATCCAAATCTATAATCCAGTGCTACAATTTACCTTAAAAATTAATAATAAAAAAAATCAACTTCCAATAAAATCATAGACAAATATGAAATCTTTTTTCGTTAGTTTAATACAACCAGGAGGCAAGAATTCTTCTGAGTTCTTCACCAATCAAAGAATCAACAAGCCCAACAAAATGAAAAGAATCGGTCTAAATTATCAAGTTAACTAAATAAAATATCAAACTTAATTTTTCTATTACAAATACATACACACACAGAGAGAGAGAGAGAGAGAGAGAGAGAGAAGATGGAAACGGAAGATTGAGGGACAATACTGTGCTGCGTTTTCACGATTCTTATTTTTCTGTGAGGCTTTAAGTGCAAACCCAGATGATAAAAACCTTAATACGCAAGCTGTTATTTGAAGCGATGACACAATTTCTCTGCCTCGCTACCTTTTTTAATTGAGGATTGAATTTGGGCTAAAATATAGTTTCAAAAAATAAAAAATAAATAACATAGATTTTTTTGGGCCCCTAAACAGCTGGGCCTGAGGCGGTGGCCTCTTGGACCTCACCTCAAGTCCGGCTCTGTAAATAGGGGGCTAAAGGTAGGAGATAGGCAATTTGAGAAGTAAAGTAAGACGGTTTCAATTCTTGTAATCTTGCATTTTGCTGATTAATAGAATTCTTCATTTCATTCAGAAGTTTCTTATCAGAAGCCTCTTCAATCTCCTATGCTATTAAGTCCACATTGGTCATTGGCACCATGGACAGTGGTTTCCGTAGAAAACAAGAAAACAAACTTGATTATTTTCTTATAACAAATGCCAAAAAACTGTAATGAAGATTACATATATCAAGGAGTATTTCTACATCTAATTTTTGAAGAGCAGTTTAGGTTATATTTGTCCATTCTTCATTAAGGAAATTCACGTTGTAAATCTGGATTTCCGTGGAATCAGTAAGAGTAAAAAAGGCTTGAATAACTGTAGAGAAGGCACTGAGAGAAAAATCAGAACTGGTAGAATCCTGATTAAGAAAGTAGAAATGATAAAAGAATTTGACAAAGTTTTATCACCAGCTAAGAAGAGGAAAGAAATTTTGTTGCCTCCATCATTAAGGGAGGAGGTCAATTTAGGAAATGCCACAATAAAAGCTCAAGCTTTCAACATGAGCATTGAAAGCAAAAGCAGCATTTGAACAAGAGATAGTCAGGTAGGGCTTTCTCAATCTCTCCCGCATGCATCTCATTTTCTCATGCCTTTGTCTTTCTTCCTTATTGGTCAGCCATCTCAATTTCTCACCAGACCAAATTAAATGTTCTCCATAATACAGGAAGATTGATAACTGCAAAGCAACAGCAATGAACACCTCAATTTCCTTTATGCTTCGAAAGCCACTAGATAGCTAATCTTATTGCAAAGGGATACTTGCCAACATGCGGAACAACAGCTCTTTAACAAGTAACCTGTTTACAAGTTTGCTTGAATCACAACAATTGGACTATAATATCAATAACTAGTATGGTGCAACAAAAATTTAATCCTGTAATGGGACAGATTCCATACTACAAAAACTCTATCCTGTAATGGGACAAATTCCATATTAACTTTTGCTGAGCATTCAGGCAATCATTCATCATTTTAATACTATGAACCAAATCGCCACATATCATATTCTGTTGTTTCTGTTCTTCTTCACAAGAAATGATTGCAGATTTTGCATTAGCTTAACAAACTCACACAGTTAGATCCAAGCTAGGAGATGATCAGATAGAGATCCAACACCATTTAGCTAAATTGCCTTCGCATATTCTACACCTAGGTTCCAACTCCTTTCCTCATATGTAAACGTTTGTTACAAGTGAGTTTATTAGTTTCTTGAAAAAGCAAAAAGTATGTAATGGAAAGAAATAAAAATAAAATAAATAATAAATAATCAATCTCGTGCAAATGAAAGAGCCTATATTAGCACAACAAATGCACTACAGTCATCTTTGTATGAAATACTAGTAACTCAATCAATGTCAACCTCAACCACGATTAATAGTCACCTGCGTCGAAGGAAGATGAGGTGCTCTCCTCTCACCCTCTTCCCGGCCTTCAACATAAGCTGCATATAACAATTAAAGTTTAGAAGGAAAAAAGAATCATTAAAACTCTGTAACCCGCTTTTGTGTGTTTACTTACCAACATTCACATCAAGAGGAGGCCTTTGATTCAACCATGGTGAAGGTGCCTGCTGTATGAGTAAAAGATGAAATTTAACTTCTACCCAACATTAAAAAAAAATAAAAATTTACATACTAAATTCTTCATCTAATTTCAAAAAGAGGTTTACGACATCATGCAAAATTAACTATTAGAACCACCAGGTTTCTATGATATTTAAAGAATGGGTGAACAAAAATATCTCAGAAACAAAATTTCTCAACTCAAAATTCTAAAGAAAATTTTTATCCATCCCTAAAAGAAAAAAGGAAGAAAAGATAATGCAAAAGATGTTACCATATAGGGGCTAGGTCTCGAAGATCCAGCTTTCATGTTGTGAACCCCACCATTGTCATTCAAAGATGAATACTCATCTGGTGTTATTGGGGTAGCACCAGAATGAATGTTATACAATGAGCTGCTGTCGGACATTCCAGTGAGAGGAGTCTGGGCAGAGCCAGGCAATGGAGTTTGGGCTGTCCCTGGCAATGGCGTCTGTAATGGTGTCTATGAGCACCAAACAAGAAATTTCGTTTGTTAATTATATATATAATAGGGAATTTTTATCTTTAACTTGGATTTCCACATTACTGCTTCACAAAATGAAAAAATGGACTACTCACCGGAGGAAAAAGTAAATCAGCAGTGGGAGTTTCGTACTCCTCGGTGCCTTCATAGGGAACATTGAGGTCATGCACGGGATTCGGAGGAATGGGACCCCCAGGTGCGGCCTTTTGTGACGCAGACCGGTCTATGGGGCCCACAATTGCCCCCGCTTGCATCATCTTCAACTCCCATAACTATAAAATTCACCAACAAACTCACCATCAAGCTTAAATTCCACCTCAACCGATCCAATACTTACAAAACCCAAACATTAATCATATACAAACCCACAAATCAAATTAATCAAAAAATTCGATTCACAAACAATATTCAGGCCCCGTTTGATAGGGATTTTTTGCCCCAATAGTTATTTTACTATTCAAGCCGTAATTTTTTACGTCTTCTCTCATATGTGGACTCCACTTTTCTTCTAACGATCAAAAAATCAATTCTCAAAATCCCTACCAAACGGGCCCTCAATATTTAGTACTTTCCCAAAAAAAAAAAATAAATAAATAAATATCAAAACAATAAAGAAGCAACAAGTTCTTTTAGCCAGACCAAAAAATAATTAAGAACTAAATCAAAGTAAAAGAAATTATTACTGCTTGGAGCTCATTGAGAACACTCTCTCCAGGACCACCGTTATCGATGAACTCATCGCGGCACTTGTTCATGACGTCCTCGATGACGTTGGCATAAACACTGCTGGTGACGGAACTCGCCATCTCTGGAAAATTAACGTTTCAGAAAAACACAGAAAATTTGTTTGAAGGATCTGAGATTAGTTGAATGTAATCTAGAAAATTAGGGTGTAGGGTTTGTGAGTGAGAATTTTAGAGAGCGAAAGGAGAGGAGAGAGAGAATAGCGGAACAGAAATGAAGAATAAAGACTGGATTATAAATAGGTTTGCATCCGTTTAACGTGCATCAGTCCACGTGGAGCCATATTTAAATTAATCCTTTATTTGAGATAGATTTAGAATTAAATGAAGGGAGAAACGTAGCACGATTTCAAAATTTTCTTTTTGTCGTAGATTTTACTCAAATTTTTCATTGGTCGCTCCTTATCTTCTAAGAATGTGCGGTTTACTATTTATTTTTGTCACAAAAGTTTTCGCACGAAATTAATTTTGCAACAATAAGTTATTCTATTTAATCACGTGTATCATTATTTTCACACGTCATTTCACCATTTTCACACACCGTTTCATTGTGATGTCATCTCTACTACACTGTTTCTCCATTTTCATACTACTTCACTTGATTAAAGGCAATACAATATATTATATAATAAAGAAACGAAATTAAATATAAAGATTATTTAAAAAAATTGCAAATAAAAATAGAAAAAAATTATTATAAACTTTTTTAATTAAATTAAAAAGATTTAAAAAATAAATATTATTTAATTCAAATTTAACGAATGTCTTTATATCATAAGGAATGTATAAAGATTATTTTATTAAACCAAATAAAACAAAGAAAAAAAAGTTACAAAAATTAAATAAATAATGTATAAATATTATTTATTTAATTAAAATTGGAAAAATTAAATTAAAATAAAAAATCTCTCCATGAACAGAGATAATCTCTGATTCCAAAAGGAGAGTTTTCTCCTTTTGACTTTTCAAAATGAGAGTCATTTTGCACGGAGTGGTGATAAATTTTTTTTTTAATTTTACTTATAGCAATTTTTTTATTAATAAACATTTAATTTTAAAAAAATCTTTCCATATCTTAAAATAGAGAATGTGAGGTTTACTGTTTATTTTATTAATGATAATATTTTTTTACATGAAAATTATTCTTTATTTCCAAAATGTAAAATGTTACTTATAACTGAAAAAATCACTTCAAGTTATTTAAAAGTAAAAAATATTAACTTCAAATTTTTTAAGTATAAATATTTAGATATATTTAATTTTTTAAATTAAATATTAATAAAAAGATTGCACTATATAGAATGTAAAAAGTTACTTAAGGTAAAAAAAAATCACTTAAAGTTATTCAAAAGTAATAACAAAAACTTATAATTGTAAAATCTACTTATAGGTAAAAGAAAATATTAACTTTTACATTTTTAAATAATTATTTAGATATATTTAATTTTTTAAATTAAATATTAATAAAAAATTACTATAATTACAAAAAAAAAAAAAAAAAATTTTAAATTAAATATTAATAAAAAGATTGCACTATATAGAATGTAAAAAGTTACTTAAGGTAAAAAAAAATCACTTAAAGTTATTCAAAAGTAATAACAAAAACTTATAATTGTAAAATCTACTTATAGGTAAAAGAAAATATTAACTTTTACATTTTTAAATAATTATTTAGATATATTTAATTTTTTAAATTAAATATTAATAAAAAATTACTATAATTACAAAAAAA